TTGTCCGACTGTCGTTTGATCCTTAGTTATATATCATGTATATATGTGTAGATATAAAGCTTTTACTTCAATTCTAACCCTTTGGGTAACAAAGGTGCATATGCTAAGTTACTTATATAACATTACTAGTAAACTATAATAAGTATAGTTTAGGAGTATACTACTCACTATCTCTAATACTATGAAACATACAAGGAGTCAGTTCATACATGAGTCAATACATACTGTAAACAATACATACACTCCACTATATAATTGAACATACTACACACTAGAAAGAAAGAACATACACTAATACATACTATTCATACACACTAAACTCTATACTAAAGAACACACTATGATGAGGATCAGGAGAGAACATACACTACACTAGTACAAGAAATACATACACACTATAACTAAAATGTGAGGCACTACCTCGGGGCATGACAACTCTGTCATGGCTCGACTTGTAACCAGAGTCTTCTGAAGGAAGAGCGTGAATTCGTGTATAGATCTATACTGGACTGACCGTCCTACACCTTGCTGCTAGCTACAGTGGGACCTGCAGGTCTTCGGGTGATGAATGTCATACCATCTCGACGTCTTCGAGCGTCGTGTTTTTCTAAGGTCGATCAAGTATGGTTACAATTATATCACATTATACCTTAATTAACGATTGGTTTAAGGTAGTTAGTACAACAGTGGTCACTACAATATAATACTACAGTACTTCGTTATTTTCCCATTACATCTACTTTGTGATTTTCTCACATAAACAGTAATACAAGAACTATATTTTATCAAATGATAGTCACATTGGGAGAAATACTCACTTTTACAAAGAACAAGCATGCAGTACTTGACGTTTTGGTAGAAGACTACTTATAAATAGAAAATATAGGATTTTCAAGGAGTTACAAACAATTACTACAAACATTTTTACAAACTTACACACCAAACACGTACAAACATTTTCATACAAACAATGACACTAAAATGCTTATGAACTCACCAGCTTTAATGCTGATAAACTCTTTTCAAAATAACTTGTATTCTCAGGTCGGCAGTAGGCAGGTACCGAGGCCAGCTTTTGAGAAGATGGAGCACTTTTCAAGACCCATCTTATTTTGATTTATATTTTTGGTGTCTTATAACTGTACAGAACACGTTTGTATTTAAATACACTATTAATGCAATGGATGATGTTGTTGCTTGTTTACTATATTTCTGTGTTGTGATACTGTACATGACGTCCTCCGCCCCAGAACGTTTCCGCCGTTCCGATTTTGGGGTGTGACAATAACAAGTTAGAGGATGAATTACTCACGTTCTTGAAGCTTTGAAGGGTTCACGGTTGAAGAATACTCGAGAGAGAAGGAGTAGTGTGCGGCCAAGGAGAGAAAGGAGTGAAAGAAGGGGGTCTACTCATATATATAGGGGTGGGTGACCCACCACCTTGAGTGTGCGCCCATGGGGTGGGGTGTACGGCCGTACACCCATGTGTACGGCCGTACACCCATGTGTACGGCCATACACTCCTCCTAAGAGAGTGCATGGCCTGATTTTGTTACCTTACGACTTGATAACTCATCCCTAATCCCAACCTTGATTGTACTTAAGCTTAGAACACTTAAACGAACCCTTAAACAGTGTTAAAAGACCACCGAAACGAGTTTAACATGGGTTGACTTGACTAGATGGAAGTTCCGGGTTATCACATATTAATACACCATTAATTCTTCAAACACACTTGAAACTCTTTAATTAAAAAAAAATCAAAAATTGACACTTAAGAAATTTTCGGGTATACCCGATAATTACCCGACCTGACCTCACATCACAAAGAAGAAAATCAGATTTCAATTAAATCAGTTGGCGACCAATTTGAGTTCCAATCGTACCAGTTTACGATCCCAATTTGACTAATTTGTGTTCCAGAGTCGATCAATTCTCGATCCCAATTGAGGGGGTGTTTGGCTAAGCTTTTTAAAACAACTTATTAGGTTCCACACCACTATAAGTTAAAAAAGTGTTTGGACGAAAATAACTTTTTCCGGTGGGGGACCTCTAATAAGTCATTTTTTCATAAGTTACCCTACACTTACTTCTAATGATGACGAAGCAATTACTGATATTCCGAATGATCTTCTAATTAATGATCCTTATGATACTATATGTTCATTAATCGAGTTTGTATATCCTTTAATTCTTGAAGCTTCTAGCAATCCAGAATATTTTCAAGAAAGAGCAATACATGCTCCAAAAAATGAAGTTGTCGGAAAAATAAATGATCGTTTGGTAGCATTATTTCCAGGAGATGAAGTTGAATATCTAAGTTCAGATAAACTATGTGAATCTGAGTTTGTCCATGATCACTTTGATGCCAATTTATACTCACCTGATGTTTTAAATGGTCTTAAAGTCTCGGGTCTGCCTAATCATAAGTTAGTTTTGAAAGTCGGGGTTCCAGTTATGTTACTGAGAAACATTGATAAAAAAATGGTTTATGTAATGACACTAGACTACATGTGATATCTTTGGGCAAACGTGTTATTAAGGCAGTTATCATAACTGGAAGTAATATTGGAAATCGGACCTTTATTCCAATAATGACCTTAACACCATCTGAAAAAAAAATCCTATTCAAATTCCAAAGAAGACAATTTCCATTAGTTGTTTGTTTTGCAATGACAATTAACATGAGCCAATGACAGTCTTTATCTAAGGTTGGTTTGTTTTTGAAAGATCCGATTTTTACACATGGTCAATTATATAATTGACCCTATCTAGAGTTTAAAATAGAGAATGATTAAAATTGTTAATTTTAGATAAGGATGATAGACTTACAAATAAAACTTCTAATGTTGTTTATAAAGAAGTTTTTAGAAATTTATAAGTTGTTTGTAAAATTTTATTCCTCATAACATGTTTTCTTATTATTATTAATAAAACTTTGTTAATTTTATTTATATTATTTGATTAATAATTACAACATTTTAGTATAAAAGTGTAATTAATTTTGCAACCTTGAGTTATAAACTAGTTACCTAATTAACTTATAAACTAGTTACCTAATTAACTTATAAACTAATAAGTTATAAGGTGATATGCAATAATTTTAAATTTTTTTTTTTTTTTTTTTTTTGCCAAACCCCATACAAAATCGGGATCGAGACACATTTCACGTTCCAGGTCGTGTACGCAGTTTGTCGATCCTGGTTATGCGATCGATTAAAGGAACCTGCGTCTTGACATAGTACGAAAGAAGCAACGCGAAGGGCATGAATGAGAAAGATGCAGGACGGACTCGGTCAGCTCTCTTTCAATCATGGACCGAGTAAGGAGCTAGGTCAGTGATTGTTGACAGTCAGACATTTTAGGGCTTTAGCAAACGAGCGGACCCGGGCCGAGTCAGCCAATTAACGTAAATCCTACGTCGGCGTTCTGTTCGTCGGAACTACAAAAACCCTAGCTGTGATCTGGATCACTACTTCCCTTACTTGAAACATCAATCTCTTCAAGTTGCTGCTAGATCTTTACAAACAATAAACACAAACAATCTTCTTCCTGAAAATCCACCACACTCGATTCGATCACCAGGCCAGTCCTCTCTCCAATGGAGGACGCATTCGCCAGATCTGTTCCTGAGGTATTACTCAATTTTTTAGGGCACAATTTGTGAACTTTATGATTCCATTCTCCCAAATCCTAGCATTGTCTTCCAGCCAAGTTGAGGTTTTTCCTTTATAACTCATATGGAAATGTATGTGACTTTTTTTTTTTTTTCTTGGGATGGAGTGGGTGGATGATCCAAGAATGTTCATTGTTGGCAGTAATAATCGAGCATTCCTTCTAACTTAGTGCTGAATCTAGAAACAGTAGTTGAATGTTACCTTCATAGTGATAATTAACTTCTCTTTTATTGCCATTCTAATACGATGAGCTAAATGACCTCTAATTTCCATCTCAAAGCACAATGTGTAGTCTTGTTTCTCTACCTGTTTATGCAATGTATCTGTTTCTGTATGCAGGTCCTGGATTTTTTTGGAGTAAATCCCACAAAAGGTCTCACTGATATCCAGGTATGTAATGGTAGTCACTGGTCATTTTCCCAAACTTCTGTTCCAGTTATAGTTTGATTTGGCTTTTCACTAAAGATTCTTTTTTATTTGTTTATTATTATTACTTGTAGGTGACAAGTCATGCTCGGATTTATGGCAGTAATGGTATGCACTCTATTTTTATTATTTTAGGCTAGTAAAGTCTGATCAAATGGATTGGTGAGTGACTTAGGAAGAAGTATATCATATTGTTTGTAAGTTTTTCATAAAATGGAGCAAGATTCCATGGTTAAAATGAGAGGAAATCGACATGGAAGCAATGGATACAAATTAAAGAATAAAGAATACATAGCTTAGATTTCTTGCTATTTGATTAATCTTCCTCTATTTTGATTGTATACCATCTGAAGAAGGTGTTACATGGTGAAAGCAAGCTTTCATGTTTCATAATTTACTGTGTACTTATGCTATAAGTAACTTGATACATTGCTTTCTTTTGGCTTAATAAGTATTCTGTCAGCTATAAATATAGGCTGTATTCTCTTTTTCTAATAAGTTGTTTTTTTTTTCTTTGCAGTGTTGCCTCAAGAAGAAAGTAAGTATAGCTCACCTTCATTTTTGATTTAATCAAATCACTTGAATTTCACTACATTTAATTGCATCTCACTGTATGTATACAGGCACTCCTTTCTGGAAATTGGTATTGAAGCAATTTGATGACTTGCTTGTTAAGATATTGATTGCTGCAGCTGTTGTTTCTTTTCTTTTGGCACTGGTCAATGGAGAAACAGGCTTAACTGCTTTTCTGGAGCCTTCTGTAAGATTCAGTTTTTTCCATTTATTTGAAATGCTTCATTCAATTCCAACTTTGATTACTTGATAAACACTACCTTATAACTTTATATTGCTATAGCCTATGAGAATACTATGTGATTATAGTGGATTTGACTTGAAAGATTATGTTGTATGTAGAAACTACAACTGACATGATTTACATTTTATTATGATGGATTGCAGGTTATACTCATGATATTGGCTGCAAATGCTGCTGTAGGAGTAATTACAGAAACAAATGCTGAAAAGGCTTTGGAGGTAATCTTATCATCTAACTCTAGTTTTATTCAATGTTCCTTGTGTGATTGTGTCTTGCTTTTATTGTCTTGAATTCTTGATCTTATTAAACCTTTTTTTTTTACTTTAATATACACAAACATTCTTTATAATTTTATTAATTTGTTCCTATTTCATGTTGCAGGAATTGCGGGCCTATCAAGCAGATGTTGCAACAGTCATGCGTAATGGTAAACATTTGATGGTATCAATTAACATTTAAAATTAATTAATTACTTTGTATTTTGGATTCAAACTTATTTATTATCCAAGATAAGAATTAAAATATTGTGTTCTATATTTTCTCATCTGTGAATGCTTTGCAGGATGCTTCTCCATCCTACCTGCAACAGAACTAGTTCCTGGGGATATTGTTGAAGTTAGTGGTAGGTTTTATAATCTTTACATATATATCTTCCCTATCTATATAACATATAATACCATCAATGGACAATAATTTCTTTTTTCTTATTATTTTTTTTGTGGGATTCTCCAATGAATAGTGGGTTGCAAAATTCCAGCTGACCTGAGAATGATTGAGCTTTTAAGTGACCATTTACGTGTTGATCAAGCCATTCTTACAGGTATTGTCTTTTACATTTTGTAACCTAATAATGATGATGATGATGATAATTTTGTGTTTTTGATAACAGGTGAGAGTTCATCAGTGGAAAAGGAGCTGGAGTCCATGGTAACAAGCAATGCAGTGTATCAAGACAAAACCAATATCCTATTCTCGGTATGAGTTTTAAACTTTAAAAATTATTTTGAATTATTTAATAAAATAGAATTAATGAATTGAAGATATGGGATGATGAGCAGGGAACAGTGGTGGTTGCTGGTAGAGCAAGAGCTGTTGTTGTTGGTGTTGGTTCTAATACTGCAATGGGCAGCATACGTGATTCCATGTTGAAAACTGAAGATGTAAGTTTCATGTATACATATATATATATATATATATATATATATATATATATATATATCATTATATTTTAAAAATTTAAACCCTAATTGAGTTTTGATGGATGCAGGAAGCAACACCATTGAAAAGGAAGCTTGATGAATTTGGTACTTTCTTAGCAAAAGTTATAGCAGGTATCTGTATACTGGTGTGGATTGTGAATATTGGACATTTTCGTGACCCTATCCATGGAGGCTTCTTTCAAGGTGCTGTTCACTACTTCAAGGTAAACTAAATATTATTATTTTATAAAAATGAAAAATTTCATGCTCAGTGAGTGTATCGGTATTACTAATTTAATTTATCTTACTTCACTAGATTGCAGTTGCCTTGGCTGTTGCTGCAATTCCTGAAGGCCTTCCAGCTGTTGTTACAACGTGAGTGATTTGTGATTTGTAAATTGTAATTTATTATTGATATTACCTCATTATTATTATATATATAAAATAAAATAATAATGACAGGTGTTTGGCTCTTGGAACTAAAAGAATGGCTCGTTTGAATGCTATTGTGAGATCATTGCCTTCTGTTGAGACATTGGGTTGTACTACAGTCATTTGCAGTGATAAAACTGGTACTCTCACCACCAATATGATGTCAGTTTCAAAGGTGATCCTTTTTGCCACATGTCATCTTCTCATGCAATCAGACACTTGTCATTCTCTCTCTCTCTCTCTCTCTCTCTCTCTCTCTCTTTTAAAATTATTTAATATCCACTTGTCTTTTTGGCATGTTTTAACTTCTTATATTTATGGCACTATACACAACAAGTTTCCCTTTTTTTTTTTCATATAAATGTAATGAAATTATTTATTGTTATAGGGTCTAATCCTGTAATTTTTAAGAACAAATACTTGGTGTAACAGGTGTCTTTCATGCTTTTCTAAACACAAACTGATTACAAATATCTTTTTAACACAAAAGACATCAATGATGTTATCTTACTTTCTGATTTTAAATAAAACAATGATATTGTCATTTATGATTGTCTTCGTTTTTTTCAGTCTTATTATATTTCATCATCCAATATGATTATCTTATCATTAATCTTGAGTCAAAGAACACTGCAAATACATATTAATTAAAAATAACGATGATAGACTTACGAACAAAACAATCAATATTGTTTAAAAATAACCATTTGCAAATTTATGATTGATAATTACGTTTTTTATGTTCTCCATGTTTTTTGTTATCATAGATTAAATTACTTACTTATTCATCATTTTCATTTTGCTTGTATTTATTTCAAAACTTTACTTTAAAAAATGCTGAAAGTTTACACTAGTTTCTAATCAATAATAATCATACTTGTATTGTTTATTAATCTTTTTTTATTCCTAGCTTTGCGTGCTTCATTCTGTAAATCATGGAGTTGCAGCTTCAGAGTACAGTGTTAGTGGTACTACCTATGCACCAGAGGGTTCTATTTATGATCACTCAGGGATGCAGGTTTATTTTTGCTAAAAAATCTACTTCAGTTTTAAGTTTTAAGTTTTAACTTAAACTTTCCTATAATATAAATAACATTTTTTTTTGCAGCTTGATTTTCCTGCTCAATTTCCTTGTCTTCTTCACATTGCCATGTGTTCAGCTCTCTGCAATGAGTCTGTTATACAATACAATCCAGACAAAAGAAACTATGAAAAAATTGGGGAGTCAACTGAAGTGGCTCTTCGTATATTAGCAGAAAAGGTTGATTCATTTGATTCTTTTATTTTATAAAATTTCAACATTAGTCAAACTTGTTATTTGACTTTTTTGAAAATCTTATCAGGTTGGTCTTCCAGGTTTTGATTCTATGCCTTCTGCCCTGAATATGTTGACAAAGCATGAAAGAGCATCTTACTGTAATCATTATTGGGAAAATCAGTTCAAAAAGGTTTGGTTTTTATGATCATAATCATAACCATAATCATGTTTTTTCTTTTATTGATTTTTTTTTTGGATGCAGATATCTCTTTTGGAATTTTCTCGTGATCGAAAGATGATGAGTGTTCTTTGTAGTAGAAAACAGATTGAAATTATGTTTTCCAAAGGTGCCCCTGAGAGTGTACTCTCTAAATGCACAAGTATCCTTTGTAACAATGATGGTTCTACTGTTCCTCTAACTCCAAATATCAGAGCTGAGCTGGAATCTAGATTTTCCAGGTGATATCATTTTCTATTTCCAACAATATTAAATTTTACATGAGTTGATTTTTTACTTTTTTGTGTTTCAGTTTTGCAGGAAAAGATACACTAAGATGTCTTGCACTTGCCTTAAAAAGGATGCCTACAGGTCACCAAAATATTACCTTACATGATGAGAAAGATCTTACATTTATTGGGTTGGTATGTATGCTTTCTATCCCATTCTCATATCCCAATTCTCAATCTCAAATTATTTTATTTTCATTTTTCCTTTTTTGTTTACTTTAAGGTTGGAATGCTGGATCCACCTAGAGAGGAAGTCAGAAATGCTATTCTCTCATGCATGACAGCTGGCATACGTGTTATGGTTGTTACAGGGGATAACAAGGTAAATAACTAACTAACTAACTAACTAACTTTCTGTGCATTCAAAATCAGTTTTTGTTATTATTATTCTAATTGGAGATGAAAATTCCAGACTACTGCAGAATCATTATGCAGAAAGATAGGTGCTTTTGATCACTTGGATGATTTTGTGGGAAGATCTTTCACTGCTTCTGAGTTTGAAGAGCTTCCAGCTTCTCAAAAGACATCTGCACTCCAACATATGATACTTTTCACCAGGTATCTTCACTTCTTCATACATATTATTATTTAATTATTTATATCTGCAAAAGGGTTAAATTCTTTTATTAATGTATGATTTCTTTCATAAGGAAAATGAATTTGATTTGTTGCAATCCTTCAGGGTTGAACCATCTCATAAAAAGATGCTGGTGGAAGCACTACAACACCAAAATGAAGTGGTAAGATTAATGCAGAATTTCTATTTTAAGTAGAATTTATAAAATAAAAAAAAATCATTTTGAGAATTGGTAAATGAATTTTTGTTTGAAGGTTGCCATGACTGGAGATGGGGTGAATGATGCACCTGCATTAAAGAAGGCAGATATAGGAATTGCCATGGGCTCAGGCACAGCAGTTGCAAAGGTATCTATCTTCTTCTGACTTTTTGACTAGTCAACTCTTTCTTATATATGTTGACTTTTTTATGGTTATAATATACTAATAAATTAATAATCATCACTTGTTATTATCAGAGTGCTTCAGACATGGTTTTGGCTGATGACAATTTTGCTACAATAGTTGCAGTAAGTTTCTTGTCATTATCGATTGAATAATAAAGATTTGCAAAAGCAAAAGAGTTGTTTTTAATTAATTAATTAATTTGTTATTGATAGGCTGTTGCAGAGGGAAGAGCTATATACAATAACACAAAGCAGTTCATTAGATATATGATTTCTTCAAACATTGGAGAGGTAGTTTGTATCTTTGTTGCAGCTGTACTTGGGATACCTGATACTCTTGTCCCTGTAAGCTTCTTCCAATCCAACTATGTGAAATTACATTTTTACCCCTCCCTAGTCCTACCATTTTCATTTAAATCTTACCACTTCTCCATCACTTGTTCCAGGTGCAACTACTTTGGGTTAATCTGGTTACTGATGGATTACCAGCTACAGCTATTGGCTTCAATAAGCAAGATTCAGATGTTATGAAGGCTAAACCTCGAAAGGTATTTTCTCTTTCTCTTTCTCATTATTAACTTATTTTTTTTTATTATATACTAATATTATTACATAACATTAACATTTGATTTTAAAAATCATGTGCAACTTTTTGAATCACAGGTTAATGAAGCTGTTGTCACTGGGTGGCTATTCTTCCGTTATTTAGTGATTGGAGGTATTCATTTTTAATTTTTGTTATGTCGAATTAATAAAAAAAAGGTATTTTTATTTTTGTAATTTTGAATTTTTTATGCAGCTTATGTTGGACTTGCAACTGTGGCGGGTTTCATATGGTGGTTTATTTACTCGGATACGGGTCCAAAGATACCTTATACTGAACTGGTAAATCCTTTCTTACATTAACTATTCATTCTTCCTATAATAATAATAATAATAATAAGGGTCAAGTCATTGATTTCTTTACAACTTTCATACAAATGTTAAACAATAATAATACACAATAAGAAAAAAATTCAAACTAATATGCTCTACTTGGGAAGATTTTTCAATATGATGCCTTAGTAAGTAGAATGCTGTAATATAAAGAAATGAAAGGAAGATGCTATAATTGCTTAATACACAAATACTAAATGTAAATAGCTTGTTATTTTTTACATTTAGCCTTGATTATGATAACAATATTAGTATTATTATTTTCATTATTATTGCTATTGTAGTGATAGTGTGACACTACAATATATATTATTATATTTGGTTAGTATTATTATGATTATTATTTTTATTATTGTGATTATTATAATGATTGAAGGATTAAGTTTGGTACATATATATGTTTGGTTTTGGGAGTTTTTTAAAATGAATGCATTTTGTTTGTTTTATAATTATTTATGCAGATGAATTTTGACAGCTGTTTGACACGTCAGACAACATATCCTTGCAGTATATTCAGTGATCGACACCCCTCAACTGTTGCAATGACAGTGCTTGTTGTTGTTGAAATGTTCAATGCTTTAAACAATCTCAGCGAAAATCAATCCCTAATGTCAGTATTACTTCTTTTGCCAAATCAAAACGGGGTCGTTATTTCTTTCTACTTTAGGAATACCTACTTTTATTTACATTGATTGATTTGACTCCATAATCCATATCCTACCCTTTTGGATTTGCTTTATGCTTTTTTACTTTTAGCCAGGAGCTGTCTTTTTTTGACTTAAGGACTGAGATATATGTGTGTTTCTTTTGACTTTATATGAACAGAACCTCTTGTCACACAAACAAAGAGACAGTTTTTCATTAACAGAGGGATACAATCGTCATTTACTCATTCAGACGTGTTTATCCACTTACATCATACTAAAAAAAAGAAGCTAATTTTTATGAATTTTCCCTCATTTGCTATTCCGTCATTTTGTCAAGTATCTTTTTTGTACACGGTTGGTTGAATTCTTTTTTGAGAGGATTTTAAAAAATAATGAGTAATAATAATTTCAGGGTTATACCTCCTTGGAGTAATTTATGGCTTGTTGGTTCTATTGGGGTGACTATGTTACTTCACTGCCTCATTTTATATGTTCAACCACTTTCGCTTCTCTTTTCTGTAAGTCTTATTATTATTATTATTATTATTTTTTTTTTCTAAATAATAAATAATAATATGTTGTCAGTAAGTTTTAAACTTCATTTTCCATTTCAGGTTGTACCTTTGACATGGGACGAGTGGACTACTGTTTTGTATTTATCGTTTCCTGTAAGTTTTTTTTAAATTATTTCTTCTAGACCACTGTAATTTGTCTAACATTAATATTTCTTTGTTTTTGTTTGTTATGATATGTATATATAGGTAATAATTATTGATGAGATTTTGAAGTTTTTCTCCCGAAATTCAATTGGTATGTTCTAAATTACTATTGACCTACTTTTAGGGATGCATTGGACTCGGTGCAAAAGACGTGAATGCCCTCCTAAATTCTATATAACTGCTGATGATTTGTGTGTTAAATGTAGGCATGAAGTTGAATTTGAGACTTAGGAGAGCAGATTTACTTCCCAAAAGGGAAGTACGCGATAAGTGACATGTGGGGTCTCCAATATATTATTATTCATTTACTCACAGATACACAATACTAGAAGAGACCTTTTTGCTTAGGTGTTAAATTTTGTTGTAAAAAAAGATATCGACTTTATTATACATATTTATGAGCAGTTGGTGATAATTGTTGATTTGATTTTTTGATATTGGCATGTCATCAATAGAATAAAAAAGTTGAAAAAATCTATATCATATTAATATATGTTTTCCATGTACTAAAGAAAAACATTCAAAACATAACAAATATCACCATCGCATGGCTGTGTTTATATATACAAAACAATTTTAAATGTAGAGTTGTGCATAATTTTTTTTTATCTTATTTATTCATTTGTTAATTTTTGCATCTGGACACTACTATTTAGAAACAAATTTTACCGACTGGACAAAAATACATTTAATAGCAACATATTGACAGAAAATAATAAGTTCTGCGTGTTCATCATTTATAGTCACAAAAAATAAAGAATATCAACCCACATTTAATCTATAGAGAATTTGCAAACAAAGATATAAATGACGAAAAAAAAGAACAAATATAATATGAAATGTCCTTAAACATACAAAATATAAAATTATCTGCCTGTCAAATTAGTTGACTTATAATGTTAAATTAGTTGACTTATAATCTGATTGAAAAGAATTTAGAATTACCACTGCTTAGCTTTCAATTCGCCTCTGACCATCAAATGAAATGTGAATAATCAGTCCTCATCTCTTTGAAAGAAGGGGCGCTTCCGGTTCTGTCGGTGCTTGAAACAATTTTGTCTTCTCCATATTACTATATCTCTAGAGTCAATAATTTTATATGAGGAACTACTGAACTCAATCACTTGCTGCCGTTACTTTTCAGTTTTCTGTTGATGTCTATCCTGTAGAGGTACTCAAATTGGATCAGTGATCGATTTCTAGGTTTCGTCGTAAACCTAATTGGTTACTTCTAATTACGTAAATTAATAGTTCAAACCGCACTCAAAGGTAGAGCATTCCCATTTTTATAGGAACTTCTGTACCAGAAACAATGGTATCTCCACTTGTAGCAAACTTCATAGTATTGGTGTATCGAGATGACCTCTAAAATCATTTCGTATTGTAGAATGAAAGTAGCTTGTTGAGGTAATCCTATGTGTGCAAACTCAATGCAATATTTGTTGGATTTATATTCTCAAGAATCATAATCGAGTGATATTGTTAATAACATATTATCTTATAGGGTCAATCAGGTTGGTACTTATTGAATATTTATTAAACATTTTATTATTAATAAATAAATTCAACTCTTGTATTTAATTAGAGAAAAAATATTGTTTTATGAAAATAATAATAGGGAAATTGTCAGAAAAGTTATAATATTTTCGGAAAAGTTTCACTTGAGTCCCATTTTTTTTTTGAACAGAAAAGTCACGATTATTTGATTTTACACGATAACATTTCATTTTCTATTGGGAAATCTCCAGAAAAATCCTAAAATTTTACTAAAATTTACGAAAAGTTCCAAACTAAAATTTATTTACGAAAAAGCATGAATTACCAGTAAAAATGACGATTTGACCCATTTTTCTCGGTTTACCGGTTCATTACTTATCTGTTTCATTAAAGTCCCATTAATTTACCATAATTTACGAATAACTCACAAACTAAAATTTAGTGATGATTTGGTCATTTTCTCCATGTAACATACATTTTACCGGTTTTGTTGCTGACCTGGATGCCTAGTCATTAAATGAGTTGGTGAGATGGATATGTTGGGTTATATAATGTTATGTTTACCATAAAACTTGATATCCTGATGTATTATAATTTTTTTTGGAATATAAATGCATCCAATGAAGATTGCAATAATTACATAAACTAGCAACATCTGCATCATTTTTTACGTTTATAATAAATTTCAAATTATCTATCTAATCTTATGTAACCCAATATATTCATCTCATCAGACATCAACTCATTTTCTGCCATTTTTTTTCCTAAAAACACACATTTTATTGGTTTCATTGCTGACCTAGATACATAGTCATAAATGAGCCGATAAGATGGATATCAAATTTTACAGTAAATGTAGCCTTATATAACCCATCATATCCATCTTATCAATTAATTTAATGACTAGGTGTCTAAGTCAGCAATGAAATTGATAAAATGAATGTTACATGGAGAAAAGGGCCAAATCATCACTAAATTTTAGTTTGAGACTTATTCAAAAATTAGGATAAAATAATGGGACTTTAATGAAACTGGTAAGTAATGAAACCGGTAAACCGGGAAAAAGGGGTCAAATCGTCATTTTTACCGGTAATTCATGCTTTTTCGTAAACAAATTTTAGTTTGAGATTTTTTCGTAAATTAGGGTAAAAAGGACTTTTGATTTCCCTTTCATGTTAAAAGAAAAAAAGGACTTTTGTTAATTTGAGCCAAAATGAAATAATCGAGACTTTTATGTTCAATTTTTTTTGCGGAATAAAGTGAAACTTTTCCGAAAATATTGGGACTTTTCTGACAATTTCCCATAATAATGAAAGGAAAGACAAACTAGTTATTGCATCATATGGTATGATTAATAAGTCATGTACAAATGTCTTGGGTACTTTGGCTAACCATGACTTAACTAGATACTTGACTTACTTAGGCAAACTAGCCTAACATTCTGTCTCTTCCTAAGCCCCCAAAATCGTAACTTTCGAGAGGGTATTGAGGTTGCTTGTCAACCTCCATGCTTTGTTTCCCATGCCTCTCATCTAGTGTATTACATTAGATTAAAATAAGGTATAACCTTTTTTCATGCATGGGATATATAAGAAAGTCTTATGGACAAAAGTTGCTAGCTTTTGGTCTTGCATTTCTCTCATAGAAGCCATAGCTTCCTCTCACCATTTCACTCTCTTCCTTTTGAAGTTGGTTGTTTGTGTTGGTGCTTCCCTTTGTGTCTTCCTTTAGTGATTATGTAACATCCAAGTTTTGGTAAGTTACCTTTAAGTCCCTAATGTAAAATCTCTTTCATTTTAGTCCCTTGGTTAGTATGCGGGGCGTACTCATTGAGTACACTTAGCGTACTAGCCACAGTTTGGTCGCGAATCTTAACCACGTATGCTGGGCGTACGTGGTGTACGCATGGCGTACTAATGTATGAAGAAAGCCCTAGTTTTTAGGGTTTGCACCCTATTTAAGGACCTTAAGTCCCCCAAGTCCCTTAGCTTTTCAGCCTCTATTGCCGTTGAAGTGCAAATCTCGAACCCTAAGCCACCTTAGTGCATTTGTGAGCTTCTTGAGTTATTTTTGGTGTTCTTTAGAGCCTTTGAAGAAGAAGGAAGCTTGAGAAGAAGCAAGGACCTGGGAAGAGCTTGTAGATCCAGAAGTTTGGCACCATTTCTGATCCATTGAAGGTATAAAGCTCAAACCTTGACGATTGCATGCTTAGATCTAGTTTTAGGGTGGAAAATGTCATCTTTTGGTCCCGTAGTTTGGATTGTTGGAGTTAAGGAACTTCATACCATATAAGCTGTCCTTTTGAGCTATAGAAGGTGTTTTGAGACATAAAATCAGATCTTGATGGTTAAGCCTCAACCATGCAAGTGTTAGGGACCAACCATGGGTGCTTATGGACTTGATTCATGTTTTGAGCCCCATCCTTGCATGCAAAAGCATAAGGTTTGCAACTTTATGGCTTAGGTCGTTTCTAGGGGTCTGGATCTATGTTTTGGACGTAAGGTCTTAAGGGATTAAGACATGAAGCTAAGTATGGGTTGGCAGACCAGTACGCCGTGCGTACTCAAGTGTATGTTGCACGTACTGGGTCAACACCTCGATCTTGGTCAACACCAACGTACACTGGGTGTACAAGCCAAGTATGCCACGCGTACACGATCTGTGGGCTTGGAAGATTTTGGGCTCGTTTGGTGTTGGGCTTTAGACTTGAGAAAGTTGGGCCTTGAAAGATCTTGTATGCCCAAGAGTCATTATAGAATGATATTGCTAATAATATATGATCCTATAGGGTCACACCATATAGCAAGTTACTGTCAATTGATTATTTATTAGTATAGTTTGATTATTAATAAATATATCAACACTTGTATTTAATTGAAAAATTATTATTTCATGGAAATAATATTTTACTAAGTGGGAATTTATTTTTGTGAAAATAATATTTATTGGAGAAATAACAACTTATGAAATATATCATAAAGTCTGATTATTTATAAGTTATATTTATATATCTTAATAAACTAGTTCAATTTATATAGAATGTAGTTTTCTATAAAAATAAGATATTTATATATTCATATTTATATCTACAATTTATATAAAAGATAGTTTTATATAAAAT